AACACACACACACACACACACACACACACACACACACACACACACACACACGCTTTAGCTGAGAATGGCTGGCTGAGGCAACGATCAGGCATTCAAAGCCATCCATGTCTACAGAGCAAGACCTTGTCTCAAAATCCTGAAAATAGGCTGGAAAGATGGCTCAGCGGTTAAGAGCACTGGCTGCTCTTCCAAAGGACCTGGATTCAATTCCCACCACCCACTTGGGAACTCACAACTGTCTGTAACTCCAGCTCTAGGGAATCCTACACCCTCACACAGACATGTATGCAGGCAAAACACCAACACACATAAAAATAAAATGAAAAAACTTTTTAATTCTAAAAACAAAACAAAACCTGAAAGAAAATGAATTTTCAGAAGGCAAAATAGAACAGTGTGACCTCAAGTAGCAAAACCCCTCAACTTTTGTTGAGTAATTAAAGACTCCTTTTTATAATTTTTTCTTTATTATTTTGGGAGTTGAAGAATAGGTATATGTGTGGGTGTAAGTCAGAGTTGGTTCCGTCCTTCCATCATATGGGTTCTGGGACTCGAACTCAGTTCATCAGGCTTGACATCAGGAGCCTTTACCTATCTTGTCAGTCCTAGGACTCTCTGTTGCAAAATATTTGTTTACATTGTAAAGATGTGTCTCTGCCTAAGGTGCCTTCCAATTGGTTTAATAAAGAGCTTAACGGCCAATAGCTAGACAGCAGAGAATAGGTGGGACTTCCGGGCAGAGAGAGAGAAACTGGGAGGAAGAATCTAGGCCTGCGAATTCACCAGCAGACTTGGAGCAAGTCGGATGTGCCGTCCTAGGGAGAGGTAATTGAGTCACAAGGCAAAACGTAGATTTAAAATATATGGGTTAATTAAGTTATAAAAAGGCCAAGCTTAGGCCAAGCCTTTATAATTAATAATAAGTGTCCAGGTCATCATTTTCAGGCTGGCGGTCCAAAGACAGTCCAACAAGAAAGCTTGCTATAACTCTCTTAAACAAATCAAATTTGTATGGGTCCCAAAGCTCGTTTAATTATTTTCATTATTACCTTACTTAAGTCTATGCAAATATAAGTTTCAGCATAAGGTTCATCGGTTTATACATGCAAGCCACTACATAGTCAAAATAAGCTTACAAATTAAGCATATTCAAAACTACAAAATAATCAAGTTATCAGCATTAAATGGACAAGGGAGACGATGCTGTTTTCTGACATTGTCATGGTCGGGTAGACACTGACAGCTGTGGTGAAGTCTCTCCTCTCTGACTGTTCAAATTCCTGCAGCGTCTCTGTCCGCCCACTCTCCACTTGGCCCAAAAGCATCTCACAAATCTACGGCAGGAAATTCTACTCTGCATTAACACAAAAGCAAACCCCTGAACCACACACAAAGAAAACATATCAGAACTTGTTCGTAAAGATTACTCAGACTGGTCGGTGGTGGCACACGCCTTTAATCCCAGCACTCGGGAGACAGAGACAGGCCAATCTGGTCTATAGAGTGAGTTCCAGGACAGCCAAGGCTACAAAAAGAAACCCTGTCTTGAAAAAGCAAGAAAAAAAAATATTACTCAAAATATATTTATAACAGGGTTTTTTCCCTGCCAAAATAAGGCAGTTTGTATTTTTATGCTCTAGCAAAATCTCATGTCTCTCAGTACGCTGTAGCTTTTCCTTTACCCCAGATCTACATCAGACCATCCACAACATCCACAACACCCACGACCTAGGAAAGACATGTTACCACCAAGTCTAGTTTGGTGAGTTACAGAGGTGAATGGGGAGGAGCCACTCAAGGCAAAAAAAAAAAAAAAGAAAAAAAAAAGATCTAGCTCGGCATGCATGGCATGCATGAAAACTCACCAACACTGCATCTCTCCCTGCCCAACATGCACTGAAGAGGGTCTCCTCCTATCATTTACACAACCTTAGAGAAGGGATTTGGAATCTTGCAATTTTCTGAGTTTCTTGAGCCTTCTAAGTTTCCATAGTTTCCTGAGTCTTAGGCACCCCCTTTCTGGAGGGAATGCTTCAACTCAGAAGAAAGAGCTAAGAACGCATTTGCTGACCCTAGGGTTCCAGGGATCCCAGTTTGAGAAACACCACCACAGCTTTCAGATTTGTGCCTGCATCCAAATCAGGTAGGAGGGCTTGTTAAAATGCCGAGTGTGGGTCCCACTTCAGTTTTTGATTCAATAGGTCCAAGATGAGGAAGAGTTTGCCTCTGTAACAGTTCCCTGACTTGTACTGAGGCTGCTGCCCTGGGGACCACTGCTTGAGAACCACTGCCCTCTAGCTTTCAAACGCTCAATAGCTCTCTCCCTCCCTCTCTCCTTCCCTCTTTTTCCCTCCCTCCCTCTGTCCCTCTGTTCCTCCCTCCCTCTCCTTCCCTCTCCCTCTCTTCCTCCTCTCTCTCTTTATCTCCCTCTCTCTCTCCCTCTTCTCCCTCCCTCCCCTTCTCTCTCCTTCCCTCTCTCTCCTCCTCCTCTCTCTCTTTTCCTCCCTCCCATGTGCAAAAACTAATGAGCCTTTCTTAGATTCTCATGCAGAGTGTGCCCAGAGGTAGTACGGGGAATTTCTCATTAATAAACCTTCCTGATCCATTCACCTCTAGTCAAAGGTTTCTATAGCAACCCAAGTTCCAGCACAAGGCTCAGGCCACATTTTCACCAAATGCAGCTCGATGAGTGGAAATAAGTAACCCCCTTGTGATCAACCAAGAAAATGAGAAATAATCAAAGAGTAGCACCAGGCCTGACTGGAATTAATTCCCTGAGATTTAGGTCCAGGAACACTAGGCACCTACCAGAGATTACTTGAGGTTCAAAGCAACATTTCCTGACACTATTTTCATGGCCTCTGCTCCATGTATGAGGATATTTTTCCTTCCTTCTTTTTAATTGCCTCATAGTCTTTCTGAGAGGCCACACGGGGTGTGTGAGACTATGACCTCTGAGACCACATTTCGAATAGTAATTCTGTCGCTTGCTAGTTGCCATGGCCTTGGGTGGTTATTTAACCTGTGGAGACTTCAATCTCCTCATTGGTTTACTAAAAAAAAAGCAGCTCCAGCCTGGATCCTGAAGCTAACCAATAAACAGAAACAACTTTTAAGTGTTTATCATAAAAAAGACCAGGAATCGTTTCCACAAACGAAGAGGGAGCTGATGTAAAAGCTCCTACCATCATCCTGGTGGAAGACAAAGACAAGAGATGAGATTCTAGAGTCCAGGATCACCTGAAGATGCTGGGTCTCTGGAGTCCAGTGTGGTGGATACTCTCCAAACAGCCTCCTGGGGGAGGGGTGGGATCACTGAGTTTCCCCACCACCCGCCCACACACACCACACACTCATATGTACTTATACACACACATACACATGCACACATACGAACACACATATACACACACATGTACGTGCGCACACACATATATACGTATATACATGTACATACGCATGTACACACATACATACACGTGCACACATGTCCATACATACACACACATGCACACCCCTTCAACTGGACCAGTTCCTTCCACCATACACCCCCACAGAGGTACCCTGGAGCCCTGCTCTATGGATAGTGCTGCAGTTTAGGGGCCACATGCATTTGAAGATGAGGACCTCGGAGCGAGCCCAGAGCTGCTGGGGAAAGCCTCACATGAGAGTCCTGGTCTGCCGGGGAAGGTGTGTTTCACACTGACGTTCACTCGCCTTTTCCTCAGAGCCCCGACAGCTCCTTCCACACCTCTCGGCATCTCTTTGTCCTCCCGACTCTCATCACGCTGCTCCTTCCTCCCATTTCCTCGCCCACACTCCGCAGCAGACAGCAAGTTGGCTGGCCTCCCAACCAACAAGACAAGGCACTCCCTGGAATCCTGGGGTAGGGGTTGCACAATTCAGCTGCCAGATCCAGTAACGTCCCCTTCTAGGCGAGTGCCCGTCTCCACACTCTGGGTCACACAGGCAGGCCCACAAGCTGTGGCACCCATCCAACCACGCCACAGGACGCACCAGCTCCTTACACTGCCCTCCGTCTGTGTCCAGACCACCCTAGCTGGCCTGCTTAGAACTGCGTAGATTTTTCCAGAGTCCCCTCCTTCCAACACTCAGGGCTGCGGCTTCTCAGGTGAAGAGGGAGCAGACAGAGGTGACTTTGGAGACCTCTCTTTCCGCCATCATCCTGGGACACCTGTGCTGTTTGCATTGGCACGTGGCTAGTTCCTGGACACCTCTGCCCGCCTGTGTTTCATTCAGCCACAAACAACTCAGAATCCTGGCAACCTGGTCCCGAGTGATTCTCTGCTAACCACTGAGAAACTTCGGGAACAAAAGGCCCCCACGTCTTTTCATTAGAAGTGGTGCAGGATACATTGTCAAATTCAATCCTTCTTACAAGTAAGTTATTTGTAAATTTAAACAAATCAGAATCGCATTAGGACAATTAAGAGAAGAAAAAATATTTTATCACACAGGGCCTGTGTGAAAATATTGTACCAATTTGTACTGCCGGGCATATAAACGAATCTTTCCTGCCAGGGCGTCTCTCACAAATGGAATCCAGATGTGAACTTGAGTCCATGCCTGGTCAGCACAGGCTGGTCTTATGAAACTCCACAAACACACAGTTGGCCAAACACTCTGTTTATCGCTTTATTGTTTCAAGTTTGATATAACCAGGGCAGAGTTTTAGATGGTCAGTGTGTGTGTGTGTGTGTGTGTGTGTGTGTGTAGGCCAGAGGACAATCTTGAATGTTATTTACTCCTCAGACACAGACACTTTTTTCTTTCTTTTTTAAAGATAAGATCTCTGGCCCTGAACTTGCCAAGAAGGCTAGGCTGGATTGTCAGGCAGTCACGGGAACCCATGTGCCTCTGTTTCCCCAGCACGGGGATTACAAGCCTGCAAGCTTGCATGGCAAGGACTCTACCAACTGGGCCATCTCCACAGCCCCAGTGTTAGACCTTTTCGCCAGCCTTGCCCTGGCAGCACTTACCAAAGTGTGGCTCAGCGTCTCCAGGGACCCGGTGGAAATGCATGGTCTCAGGTTCTGTCCCACACTCCGTATTGAGGCGGAGGCCAGGAGAGACAGAGCTGAGCCGTGTGGCATTATCAGGACTTTCCCGAGTTTCTGTTGCACACCAACTTTGTGAACCACACTGGCCTGTGACGTCAGCATGAGTACGCCCTTCCTTCTGGGTTTTAACAAGCCCTGCAGGTGATAGCGGTGTGCGTAGTGTGAAAATCACTGGGCTATGTTCACACGCTGGTTCACATGAACTAAAGTATTGCCTTTTCCCACCCTGAAGATCTGAATTTGGATTTAGATCTCAGACCTCCTCACCATCTGGAATATTCCAGCTTCTTGTACCGGTTTATTAAGTACTCTCCACTCAGGAAGGCTTTGGCCGTTCAGGGAGGGGGGATTCGCAATAAGACTACAGTGAGGATTGTAACTCACTGGCATTGTCCCGCCGGAACAATCCAGTTCCCCTCTCCCAAGCTGTCATCTTCCATTTGGAGAGAAAGGAAGGTTATGTACCTGTTCCAGGCGCGCCACACTCTGCTGGTAAATGCGTCTTTCCTGTAATTGACTGAGCGTGTACAAATGCCCTTCTGTGCCCACTAAGAAATAGCAGGGCCCGACATGGGAACGAAACCCTACTTCCCTGTTCCTTTTTTTCCCTACGCTGTAAAAGCCCTTCATCCCTTCCGAGAAGAGAGGAGTCTTGGCAACGAGGGAGGCTTTTCCTCCAGGGTGACAAGAAGCACTTTCTCGCCACGCTTTTGTTGTGCTGTTAGATTCGGAACCCTTTGGCCCTGAGAACAATACGCTGCAGTTCCTTTATTCTGGGGCTTTCTGCTGCGCTTTCTCCCACCCTTAGGATAATGGGCCACCATTTTAACACCAGAGGACAGGTAGGCCCGGTGACTGTGAGTCAGCCAGGCCTATAAGCACCCTGCTCTTAGCGGGGGCTGCTCTGAGAGGCCCAATTTAAAGCAAGCCGTGTGGCACTCCAGTTAAGGCCTGGCGAGCAGGAAATGGACTCCCACATGAATAGACTGCTAACCACCCTGGTGGGCACACAAGCCTGTAGGTAATTTGGAAAATTTCGGAAGTCAGTGAAGATGAATAAATAAGAGACCAGCCAATTTCCTTTTTCGTTTTTTATGAAGACTGAGAGCGTCGGCCACAATCTTCCTGGCATCACTAATGAATGAAATGGGGGTGGGGGGGTGGGCTTTTAAATATGTGGTGGTGCTAAATAATCTCTAACTAAATGCGTGAGGGGGCGTGAAGAATGTACATCCTCCCTGCGGGACGGAGCGAGGGCTGCCAGATTGCGTGTAGCACTCTCTCCAGATCAGTGAGGAGGACTTAACCGGGGAACGTCTTCCCTTGCTCTACACCAGAGATATTGTATGTCTTTAAACACTGCTTCCGGTGACATAGAACCAGCCATAACGCCCTAGCCTCTAGTGAAATGAAGGTTTGCTAGTTATCCCGGTAATTAGATCATCCTAGACAGCCAATCTGGACAAATCGTGTCCCACAGTTAATGTTTCCCCTCGTAATTATCTGATGTCTGTCTACATGCAGCCCTTTGGATTAACCAAGTACCTGTCTAGTCAGCAGCTTGCTGTACGGAGAAGCTGCCCTTGGGGTGGGGGTGGGGTTCTCCTCCTGCTACCCTTACCCCTCCATCTGTTACTGCTTACACTTCCCATCCCTCTGTCAGGACCTACAAAGAAGAAGAGGATAGACCTCTGAGCCTGTGATTTAGAGAAGCTATTGGGAATGGTTCAAGCCCGGCTTTCTTTTTAACTGACACTCATCTTGAATGGCTTCATGCATTCCACCCAAACACTCACCTTTAAGACTCGCCAGAATACAAAAGGGCTGGGACCTAAACTCCGCTGTCTTCAGAGTGCCGTGCTCTACTTTGTTCCAATCCACTGCCCCGTGACCAGGAGTTACACAACTGTCCTCACACGATTTGCCAAAGCCAGAGTCTAAAAGTCAAAGATTACCTAGAACCGAGGTGTCTCCTGGGTCCCCATGGCTCTGAGACCAAGCTGAACTATTTAACAAGAATCGAATAATTGGTCTGCTGTGGTGGCCCACGTGTATAAACCCAGTACTCAGGAGGCTGAAGCAAGAGAGATATTGCAAGTTAGGGGCCACCCTGCACTGTATGTTGAGTTCTAAGCCAGGGTGAGACTCTGTCTAAACAAAGAAACAAAGAGAATGGAATACCAAAGAGAGAACACCAAAGTACCTCTGTAGCAAGATAAGGATCGAGACAGACTGGTGTCTAGGCTAGGCGTCTGCATTTTTAAGCTATATGTCTCTAGTTACTTCATAGCTAGACATGATGGGTTACATAGCAAGACTTTCTTAAGAAAAAACCCAAAGGTTAGAGGTACAGCTCAAAGATCAGGACACTGGTGTAGCATGTGCAAGGCCTTGTTCAATCCCCAGGACTAAAATACAATAAAGAAATAAACTGCCTAAGCAAGACAGTGTTCTGCCTTCACGCCACCTGTCATTCAGGACAGAATGAGCATCTCTGCCTTCCCCAGGTGACGAGAAAGGATGATGACATCTTTGGAACTTCTCGGAGTCCAAGACGATACTTACCCTTCTAAATGTGAGTGGGGCAAGACCCCGGGAAATACTTAAGCTGGAGCAAAGGGAGCGAGAGCAGCAGTACGTAGTGAGCAGGCTCCGCCCTGATTCCATGGTCAATCCTGAGAATTGGGACTGACGACTAATCCAGGATTCTTACATGTCATTTAGAATGTATTTAGTCACAAGAAACAGAGTGGGTGGGGGTGGGGTGGGGGTGGGGAGAAACTCTCATAGAGGAAGTGAGGGATTTGATTCAGCAAGGCAAGTGCGCATCACGATTCTAAGACTCTGAGCACAAGATCGAATCTTCAAAGGCACTTGGGAGGAAATTTCCAAGACTTATGATCTAGCCAGAGGAAACTGAAAATGCCACTTCAGCAACAATTGGAAAGTCACTAAACATAGATTTGAGGAAGAGAAGACCCCATTTCTCTTTTCTTTTCTTTTTTCTTTTCTTTTTAATTTGGTTTTTTCAAGACAGGCTCTCTCTGTGTAGCCCTGGCTGTCCTGGGACTCACTGTGTAGACCAGACTGACCTGATCCACCTGTCTCTGCCTCCCGAGTGCTGGGATTAAGGGCATTCGCTACCATGCCCCGCTAGACTCCATTTCTTCATAGAAAGGGCAACAGATGTGTACAGGAACGGCAGACACTTTGGAGAGCATGAACCACACGTTACATGGCCAAGCCCTACAGAGGAAAACCTCACTCTCTCTCCCGAGGCCTGTGTGCTCTCACAGGCAAATTCTTGGTCTTTGAGACGGCCTCGTTTACTGTTCCTGCCTCATCCATCACTCTTTGTGATTGTGTATTGCATAAATAAACCTCTGTGGCTTTGTTTATAACATTCTATATTCTGCGAAGGTTCTCCTCACTCACCTCTTCCCAGCCTGCCTGTGGAGCCTGGTCCAGATCTCTGCTGAGTTCAAGCTCCTCCAAACCCCCCCTTCCATTCGGGGCCAGGCCTTGCTCACGCAGTTCACAGTTCGTGTTACTGGGTAACTAATGCACCATCCCAGGGCACGGTGCTAGGAAAAAGAATGCGCAAGAGGGCCAAGCCTTTGCTCACCACTCTCTTGGTTTGCTTTTGGCAGCAGCTCGGGCTGGGGATAAAGCGCAGCGGAGGCATGCTCACCTGCTGTGCCACGCTCACCTGCTGTGCCACAAAGCCATGAGTTCGATGCCCAGGCTGAAAGAAATTATTTGGTAATACAAAAATAAGCAAGAGCCTTAGCAAGGATGAGTAGAAGTTCATGAGAAAGGTTGGTAAGAGCTAGAAAATGGCCAAGTTTCAAACAGAAAACAATAGTTGATTCTGAGTCCTCAAACAATATTTTAGCGATGCACACCTGGCCTTCGTGTTCCCGGCTCTACACCGTGTGCTCCCCTTTGCTTTAGTATCTCGGGCTCAGTGTTTTCTTAAGACTGGTTAGCAGGAGTGTGAAGGGGAAGCTGATATGTCAGGAACCTCAGAGCTGCACCGGGCACACCTTGCCACCAGGACAGAACATCTGGCCAGTGTCCCATGTTCCCCGTCTTCCGTGAGCATCTTTGAAAAGAGGGTTAGCTACCAATCAAACTGCAGACTCTTCCTTCTTTAGGCTATTCGACAATCTTTCCCGGTTGTCTTCCTTTGAAAACTGCCATCCCAGAAGAGAAAATCTGTTCTCTTCCCTTCTTAATTCTGTTTTCACAAATGTGGATGTCGTAAATGGATTGCCCTGCTCCCTCACTCTTGGCTCTGAGCCTTGGTTCTTGGAGTCAAAAAACAAAACCAATTAACCCACGGAAGCATCATCTGCACGGAGTTAGGCTTTGACTTTCAGAGTTGAATGTATGCCTAGTGAGGATCAGGCTGTTTTCCTTCCCAAGGCCTGGAGAAATAGACATCCGATGACGCCTCCCCTGACTGGAGATGGACCCCTCCTTCTGTGATGGCCAATCTTTCTCACTTGACTGGGATTTAGAAACACACCTGGGGGAGTGGATTCTGGAGACACACTTCTGGGTATGTTTGTAAGGGAGTTCTTGAGAGGTTTAGCTAATGAGAGAACACCCACCGGCATCTCCTCCAGTCTGAGCAACGAGGAAAAAGGTGAGGGGCAGGACACCAACATTGTCTCTGCTCCCTGACTGTAGACACATTGTAACCAAGCTCCTGCCATGACCTTCTCTGCCATTACAGCCTCCCTCCCTCCCTGCCCCCCCCC